CACTCGGGATCTCCCGCCTGCAATGTGGAACAAGTGGGTATTTCAGTATTCAATAATACTTGACGTGAGGATATGCGAGGAAATACGGCATGATATGTTACATTGATTATATTGAAACTCTTATTGAAACTATAGGGAATATTGAAACGAAAACCACTATTCATTGCATGTCAACATACAGAAAAAAGAAGAAGCAATAAATGAACTGCTTTCTCAAAACGACACGGAATTTGACGTTAATTATTGTCGGAGCCAAACGTATCAACAGCCTCGCCACAGACAGTGAAGATGTTCTGAACTGAATGTCAGTCAGATGATAATGTCACCTCAATGTCACCTGTTGATCACCTATCCGTCTCTTGCTGTGTCTGTATAGACAGGTGTGTTTGTTCAGCGCCCCATGTCGGACGCTGTCTCTGCGATGCCTCTCGTCGTCTCTGGTGACGCCTCTCCCGTGTCTGCTGGCACCTCTCGCCATCTCAGCTGGAGCCTCTCGCCGTCTTTGGTGCCCCTCTCGCCATTTCTGTGGCGCCCCTAGCCGTCTCTGTTGCAGCGTCTCTCACCGTCTCTGGTGCGCCTACTGTCTCTTGTGGTTCTCTCGCCGTCTCTGTTTCCGCCTCTTACCATTTCTGGTGGCGCCTCTCGCCGTCTTGTATGTGCCCTTCTCACCGTCTTTAGTCTCTCGCCATCTCTGGAGGCGCCTCTCGTCGTCTCTCCAGCTCGCTCCTTTGTGCGCCGCTTTGTTGGCCCGCCGTGCCGGCGGGGGGCTCACACGCACCCTGTTGACGCCACGGGTAATGGCGGCGCCGCCCCGCCTCGGCTGCCCAAATAGGGCGGCGGACGCGGCGCTGGCGGCCGCTGAGATCATCAGGCACCGGCGACTCCGCCCTGCCCAACAGTCCCCCCCCCCCCCAACCTCCCCGGACCGACCCGCTCCCCGGCTGACCTTCGCTGCCGGGACGCACCTGGTCGCCGGAGTCTGTTTGTCGCCCGAGTGTCGCGACAGCTCGCGGTCACACTCGCACTGAGGTCAGGCGACGGGGTGAAGGTGCTGTCCATTGGAGGCTCACGGCTGCAGGACGGCGCGGCGGGTCCACGCTGGATTCGGGATCAGCGGCTGGTCGGTCCCTGCACCCCGCCACGCACAGTCGCCAGGTGCGTCGGACTCTAGACAGCGCATGGAACGGCCAGTCATCGCCCATGACCGGCCCCTCCCCGCGATGGGCTCTCAGGTCGGCCTGGACCCGCCGTCCGCTCGGCTCAGAAGGGCCGGAGTCTGGTATCGTACTCGCGTTTCGCACCGCCAGGCTCCACACCGGTGCAGCGCTGTTTTGCAACGTTTCCAAACAGCTCTGCTCGCGTTCGACGCTCTCCCATTGTCTCGAGGGTCGTGCCGACCCGTTACTGGAGCTAAACGGCACTGGGTCGACAGATTTAACCATCGGCGGACGCGACTTCCGGGCGCCAGACGCCCGGGTGCATGCGCAACAACACACCCCGACGCACGCGTGCGGCCGCGGTGCACGTCGTCGTGTCGAGGACAGCCCTTTGTGGATACGGCGTGCTCCGTGCCCTCGGGCGGCCCAAGTACCACAGCTAGGCGTCTCCTGACACGCCCAGCGCGGCCGATTTTACTGCTCCGGTCTCTGCCAGACGCGCGGCGCATTTAGGCACGTCCGCGCCGCCGCCGGCACCGGCACCGCGAAACCATACCGCCCCGGTCATGAATCGTGGGTCTGAGTCGCGCCCGACGCCGGGCGGAGTGAGGTCAGCCGCCACCGGCGCTCATCCCATGGCTAATGTGCTGGACCGAGCTGCGGACGGCGGGGCTGAATGGGCGGTGGGTGGTGGCCCGCCCAACTGCAGAGGCCCCGTGCGGTACCGAGTGCAGGGTGGTGGCTCCGTCTGTGAGGTCATGGCAGCGCGATGGGCTACGTTACCCCAGGACCCGGCGAGGAACCACCTCGGGTAGGGGAGGGAGGAGGGGAGGGGGAACACACGTGTGCTTTGACAGTCACCACTGAAGCTTTTACGTCAACAATAAACAAATTACAGCCACCCAACAACATGCATCGGTCATAAACATTCCCCAGCCTTCATCTCAGGTCACCTTAGCTCAGTGCAGCCCCGCCATTGTTGCGTAATTGCCTCAGGTGCGGACATCTGTTGGCGCCAATGCTGTCCTAATTACGTTGAAAAGTGTCGGCCGGCCGCCGCCGGTCGCGGCAGGACTGGCACACGCCACGGAGCCGGTGGTTCCCGTCACGGACATCGGTCGGCAAGGACCCGCCCGATGTCTGATCTCCCGATACCGACACCGAAAAGTGTCCAGCAGACCAAAAACTACACCAGCAAGCTAAATATGATCAACACTGGCAGGTGGCACTATCGGCGCCGAATCACCGATGACGTAACGACACCATCTGCAAAACAAGTTACGGGCTTGCTGCGCTGTGACGTGTCATCATTTCAGCACCGGTCTGCTTCGGGCGTTTCTAGCGACTTTCTGTAGATTTTCCCCAGATATATCTGGCGAAAGGCTGCGATCGGCCGTCTAGGTGACACCTAATGGCCACTGAGTAACTGTCCACTACTGCTTTAGTGATTGATGATGGAAATATCGCCAATGTGGGTGGAGATCGCTGCGCGCGATCTCAGCGTGCGCACGACCGCCGCTGGCCGAACAGCTTAACCCAGTTGTTTCTGGGTCGTCAGCTGCTCCTGAGTGACGGCCGGAAACAGTCACGGTAAAACTGTGCGCAGGTTTCTGACAGCCCCGCAAATCACCGTCTGTACTGAACTCGGGGGTCACGCAACTTGCACCAAGATGACAGCAAGGCGATTGTCGGCAGGAAATAACATTAGCATTTCAGTTTGAACGGATCAAGAGCATCCAGGCTGTTTTGTTGTCATCCTGATTTGCACCGCAACAAAAGAAACTCCTTGCATGCAGGTGCTGAATCTGTACGGCAATGAGGACGCTGTGTCTCTTCGGGCAATTCTCAGTCAGCAAACTATACCCGATCCCGATGAATCATTGCACTATTCCATCGGGTCCGTTGCACTCGACCCAAGGGCTGACTCGGCCGAACTGCTGTTTCGCTCTGTCGTGTTGGGGAGCTGGGGGAGCTGTGACCCTGGTGACCCCAGCAACACCCCCCTCGCCCCCCCCCCGCTGCAGTCCTCGCTGCCTCGTTTGACAGCCGTGAGTGAGCGCCGGCTCCAAATGTCGTGTGGCTCGGTGCGCGTGGCCCGCTCCCCGCAACGCCTCGTGTTTCCTCGCTGTTAGCCAACGGTGATTGCCTGCCAGTCTTACCGGTGACCTGTCCCGGCGCTACGCACCGCTCTGGTTAACCAACCGTATGTACATATGTTCTCCGAATATTCCCGAACAATGCGTGCGTGCGAGAACAGCGCTCCTCGCGCGCGAGACTGCGCGTAGATCGGCGGCAAGACCGTTGTATCTGACAGGCACGAACATGGCTGCCGGTGCAACTGAATTAAGTAGACATGCCGAACAGCGTTGTGCGAGGGCTACTTACAATATGGCACGTGTTACGCACTCGACTGCCTGTGCCGCATAGTCCCTATCGTACAATCGGTGACAATACCAGGTGGTCGCTTGTCAAAGTGTCGGTGAAACGGAAAGTGCCTCCGTAGACAATCGTTGGTGACTTTGTTCGCGGCTTAGAACACGTGTTAAAGTGTGATACAGCAGCACTTTATTCTTAGAAGGCAGGCGCTAATGCTGCACACTTGCCCTTATGTCTCCTGGCTATCTTGTCAAATGTAATAGGATGGTCACTCGATTTAAAAAATGTTCTTTGGTTATTGTTTGATATTAACGGTTTCATTAAGAATCAAAAACGTAACCAGGATTTCATCTTTGATGTTGTATTTTATGGAGCATTTTTTACCACGTTGTGGCAAATGTCCAGTTATATAATCTATTGAAAACACATTGATTCTTTATATAATGCTGCTTCCATCCTTGTTTGCACAGGATTTAATCCACCACCTGTTCTTCTGGTGCCCCTGAGATCAGAGTGCAAGTGATTTCGCCTGTGAAAATATCTTTTGAAAATGTTTCCATACGTTTAATCGAAGCATTTCAAGAAAACCTGTTCGAATAGATTACCTATCCCTTTTACTGTTATCTTTTGTTCTCGTAGGTATAGTTACGTCTTTGGTGACAGAGCTGCGTAGGATTGTAAATTAGATGCACTGTTTGGACGCCTCTTAGAATGTATTGAACTACTCTCATGGGACAGCATGCAATGGAGCACTCTGCACTCCACATGCAGCCTCGAAACCTGCTTTAGCGGTGCTCATACCTGTTGGAATGTCACCGCCCTGTCAGGTTGGCAAAGGTCGTGTGCCGGTCGGGACATGGGTCAGATCTGACGGCTCCGGCAGCCGCCGAGGTCATGGGCCCATGTGACAGCGAACGCCGTACTGACGAGGTGCAAGCAGAGCGCAGTACGGGTATATAGGAACGTGTGGCAGAGCTGGCACTTTCAATACCTTGACTTGAAGTGGCGAGAGTATGTGTCCGTCATTTCACTTTACCATCAATCTTTTTTACCATGATAATCATTCAGAATTTCAGATGGATTTTTAAGCCAAAACTTACTTTACATTTTGAGAAAGTCTGTACGCAAGCCTCAGCCGTCAGCGAGCGTTCTACATGAGTGTCTTCGATTGCCAAGAGATGTAGCTGAACGTCCAAGAAATACATGGATTTCATGATCGCCTGAAAGAAGCATTGTTGACCTTTTCATATCTGTGCAAATCTATTCGTCTATTTGTGCGAATTGTGTTCAGCGAGTCAAAGCTACTGTAGTCCAGACAGGTAGGCCGGTGGTCACAGGAATCCAGCCGCGATCAAATCATCTTCAGAGCCCCAAAGCTACGTTTAATTCGTCCCGAGTCGAAAAGTTGTCCCGTTCCCTTCTACATATACAGACCCATATTTCAGACACACCAGGATAAAGATCATATAGTCATTAAAATGTATTAGTCATGTAACATATTTTACATCACATCAAGACATAGCAGCAAAAATAAATTACTATCAACTAAACATGTTCGCCACCTAATCGCCGTGCTGTCAATACTGGCGGTGTTACTGGGTTACGCCTCTCCGAAACGGCGGCTCTCCACCTCGTCCGGTTAATTTCTACATTTACCGTAGATACCGTCCCTCGATGTTTGGCGCCCGCGAGCGTTGCCATAGCAACACGTTCCTCTTTCCATCCACGCACGCTCAATTCACACCGTCGGCACTTGCCATGTCAGGTCACATAGAAGCAAAAAGCATTTATATAAGAACAGTAACAAGGTACATCAACAATCATGGTATCGTGTGAACGGCCAGTATATATATGATGTGGGGCGTTTGGAATCGGCGGTAGAACCGCACCGGCGGCCAGCCGGTCGTGAGGCGGGCCGGGCGCTCGACCCGACCCGACCCGGCGGTTCAGCGGTCGGCCCGGCAGTGGACTGCGGCCCGGCCCGGCAATGTGCGAAATGGCGAGCGATGGTCGGCGGACGGCGGCGTACCCCACTGCGCCCTGGCCGGCCCGAGCCGGCGCCCGGGCCGCCGCCCGACCGGTTAAAGCTGACCTCCTGGGCGGGCGGGCGCGCCGCGGCGCACCGCCGCTGTCGCCGGTCCTTTGTACTGCCAGGTAGCGCGCGCCGCGGCCACGGCGCCGCCCGCCAATATCACAAAACGACGCGGGGTCGGACTAGAAGCACAGCGGCCACAGGCCGCGCCGCCGTCGCGGCTCACAACGGCGGCCGGCCGGCCGCCGGGTCCTGTGAGGTGACTGTATGCGAGAGGGGGCCGCGCGACGCGCTGCCGGCCGCGCCGCCGCAGCCGCCGCCGCTGCCGCCCGAGCGCGGCTCGCGCTTCATCTTTTGCTTGGTGTGCACCTTGGCGTGTCGCTTCTTCTCGTCGGAGCGGGCGAACTTGCGGCCGCACACCTCGCACGAGAACGGCTTCTCACCCGTGTGCGTGCGGATGTGCGTGGTCAGATGATCCGAGCGGGAAAACGCCCGCATGCAGATCCGACACTGGAATGGCTTCTGGCCCGTGTGGATCCGGATGTGTCGTGTCAGCTCGTCCGAGCGCGAGAAGCGGCCCTTGCACGTCTCCACCGGGCAGGCGTACGGCCGTTCGCTGGGCGGCGTCTTGCTCGGTCGGTTCGGGTACTTGCGCTGCTTGACAGGTAACAACTTCAGTGGCAGCGGCATCTGCTGGTACACCTGCGACAGAATCTCGTGGCCCTTGCTGGTGGAGGGCGAGTACTCGGCCAGCTGGGTCTCGCTAGAGAACGGCTCCTGCTTGGGTACCAGCGCCGGCACACCCGACGGGCCGGCCACGGCCGTCGCGCCGCTGCCGTAGTCGAGGCCGGCACCGAAGGAGGGCGCCGCCCACTGCTGCGGCGGCAGCGGCGGCGTCACTCCGGCCGAGCTCACCACGGCGCCCACACAGCCGGCGAACCCGCCACTCGGCTTGGCACCGTACGCGCCGGTCGGGTCAAACAGCAGGTCACCTCCGGGCGCCGCGCCGAACTGCTCAAAGTGCGCCTGCTGCTGCTGCGCCTGCTGCTGCTGCTGCGCCTGTTGCGCCTGCTGTTGGTGCTGCTGTTGCTGTTGCTGCTGCTGAACTTGCTGCTGCTGTTGCTGGAACAGTGTCTGCTGGCCCGCCTGATCGGCCATCGTCTGCTGGCCGATCAGCGAGAAGAAGGGCGTCAGCAGCCAGGAGCCGAAGGCGGGGGCGCCGGGCGCCGGCGGCGGCGGCGCCTGCTCGGCCCCGGGCGCGGAGGTGAACGAGGCCCGGTAGCCGAGCCGCTGGTGGTCGGACACGGCGCCCGATGCCGGGTGCTGAGACGGAAACATGCCCGACGGAGGGCTGGACGCCGGCGGCGCCGCGGGCGTCGACGAGGCGTGCGAGCGTGCGGGACTGCTGGGCGCCGGGCTGGGCGCCGTCGCCGGCTCGGGCGCGTCGGTGCTGGAGCAGCTGGCGGCCGGACTGCCGGCCACGGAGGTACTCGAATCCGCTGCAACACAGAGAAAGGCACAGTCAGTGGGGATCTGTGGTCTTGGGAACCGAGACACAACAGGGTCTTCGTCAGCGGGTCAAAGCTGGAAGGAAGTGTGTGTGAGGCAGTGGCGGCGCCACGAATTTTCGCCAGTGGGGGCAAGCTTGAGGTGACCCGACTGTTGTCTGATACGCCAATCTGCAAAATCCATGAGCAACTTGCCCCTAGATGTTGCCATTCAAAATTATTATGGTACTCATGTGACCTCGAATGACCTTTGGTTGACTTTGACACATGAAAAGTCCTTTGTGATGATTTCGTAGCCACTGATCACGATTCTGGCATCCATTTTGCTCTAAGCATTCATTTAAATGATGGGAAAACATGTCTTAATTAGGTACTAGATGCCGGCAGCGCTCTTGGGTTGCCTTGGGCCAGAATTGGATGAACGGAGCTGAGGGCACACACCGGGCAAAACCACCGAAACCCAGACTGAGCTCGGACTGAACCTGAAACCAACCGAAACATCCCAAAAATGCTTGAAAGCACGTGAGATGGGTGTCCCATAAGTTCGTTTTCACCTAAATGTTACGTTTATAGGCTCTCTTGCTTAAAGGCACGCTGGAATTGGTTCGTAACTGAGCTTACGTGGTTGCCATGGCTGGTAGCAATATGCTCCACAGTAACTAATTTCTGTAGACAAAATAGCTTTTGCTAGAGAGCCCGCTTCCTACAGAGACGGCTAACGCCGCAACATAGAGGTCTCCGATACGGGTACGTCTTGGTATTTAGTCAGCACGTGACCATTCTCGACGATTAAGGGTGATTGAGGCCTACCAGTCTGTACCCAATGTCCATCGCTAACTGGAGGCACAGTCAGCAAGTGACGCCGATGATTTGTCGGGAGTCAATCACGGTGAATGAACATGAGTAGGAGAATGAGTGGGAGTAGGAGATATGCGACAGACGGTCCGAGAACGAACGTTTTGCTGATGCACTTGATACGGGGACCGTCAAAAACAGGCGTACTATTATAACCGCTTATCATGAATGTTGCACTGGTCTTCTGTTCCCTTTTCAACATCAGCCAAATTTTGTGGGGGCAAAAACATAGTCTTGCCCCCAGGCCCCACGGCCTCCTGCCAGTGGGGGCAGTCTGCCCCCACTGCCCCCACGGTGGCGCCGCCCTTGGTGTGAGGGTACCTGAGTGGCCAAGAGTCACGTGGTTTAGTGGTTTAGTTGCTACTCGGAAGTGCCTACAACTGAAATGTTGTGGATTGCGCAGAGCCCCCCGTTCGTCATTATTGTCTTTGTAAACATTCGCTGGCATCATATGTTACCTATTTGACGTCACTAGCCTGGTGTGCTCGCCAGTTGGCAGGGCGGCACTGAAGGTGTGGCCAGGCACAAACACAGCACACCTGTGAGCGGGTGGCCAAATTGGGCCAGGAGACACGACCCGGCGCGAGACGCGGGGAGATGTAGGAGCGAGCGCCGCCGCTGGCAGGCCGACACGACCCCGGCGGTCGCGACGAACGACGCCAATCTCGGCCCCGCTGTCCCCCCTTCAATCAGGCTGACCGCACGCGGCAAAAAGCACCCTGCGCCGCGTCAGCCGACGCGTCGTTTTTCGCGTCGGTCGCTCGCGCGGTGACATCAGGCCTGTCCGCACGGCCTGGTCGCCGAATTGACCCCGTCCGCTGCGCCCGTCCCCTCCGGCAGAGCAGTGTTCGAGTGCAGAGCCGCTGCATCTCTGTCTCCGTGCGTCACCCCGCTGTCATTTGTCTCTCCGAGCCGCGCGGACCGCGAGCGGCCCCCGGTGCTGGGACAACACGCGGCCGATTGCAGGCCATCTGCTCGAAGCGCGGCTTACGCACCGAGCCGGCGCCGGCAGTGCCTATAAATACCGCCATGAGCCATCCGGCTGACCGATTTAGCCGGCCGATCTGAAAACGGCCGGCCTCCCCGGAGCCGACGAGGTCGGCCGGCGCGCGCCGGCGCCGACCGGCCGGCCGGACGGCCTATAACCGGCTGCGCTATTTCCAGCCGGCGTCTCCATATAGATTGGCCGCCGCGCCACCACCCCCGCTGACGTCACCGGCATCGATCGACGCCGCCGCCGACGACCGCCGTCACGGTCAAGACTAAAGGCGACCGGCCGGCAGCCGCGGGCGGCGGCAGCGAAAGGTCGCCGCGCTTCCGGTGCCTCCGCCGCCGCCGCGTCCGCAATGTCCGGTGTAGCGAGAAGCGCTGAGCGCGCTGCCGACCCGTGGGAACTCTGTCAGCCGGCGGTTGGGGTGTCGCTCAGTGTCGGCGCTGGGGTCAGTGTGGAGAGAGGACGCGACACTGACACCCAGACTCTACCGCCGCGCCGCGCGAGTCGCACTGCACCGCGCCGAGCGCACTTTTTCTCGGTCGATTATAAATGAAGCGCCCGGGCCGGCCAGATGTGAATTTATTGCCGACGCGTCACACCGCTAAAACATGCTACAAAAAGCGGCGGCGACAAACCATCAGTTTAATGGCCGGCGATTACAGTGTATTATGGCCGGACGCGCGCGGCGGCGACGGCGGCGACGAGCGACAGGGGCTCTGGGCGACAGCTTAATGTCCACCCGGCGCGATGCAAGTGTTATCCCACGGAGGGTGCATGTCTGTTTCTATCCGGGGCCGCGCCGGCCGACAGCCGGCCCGCCGGGCGTCAGCGCGCTCTAACAAACAGCCGTCACTGACACGCACACACGCAGTGCGGCGGCGCCGCGGGCGCGCCGCTCATTACGGACGGAGAGAGCCGGACACGCTGCCAGAAAACCGCCTCTGGCCGGCAGATCGTGCTGCCGAGGGGGCCGAACGACACACCGCGCGACTCGTGCACGGGTAACACGCCCCCTGCGCCAGCGGCGGGCTCATATTTGGTCAGCTCATAGCGTTATTTGTCCGTTTGCAAACAGGTGGCTTGGCGCCGGCCGCGGCCAAGGCCGCCGGCCGCCCGGCAACCCGCGGCGCGTCTGACATCACCGCCCGCCAATCGCCGCGCGCCGCCGTGAGCTCATCGAGTGACGTCACACTGACGTCATGCATAGTTTGGCGGCGACCGCGCGGCGCGTGACTGGCGCACGTCATGAGTGTGACGTTGCATGACGTCGCACCGCGGAGGACCGCTTGACCATACGGGGCGCGCGGGCGGACTCAGACGGGGTGGCGCGCGCGCGCGCGCGAGGGGGGGGGGAGTCCCTCGTGGGAACGGCTCGTGCTGCTGCTACCGGAGGGGGGATGGACCGCTAGGCCGGCGCCTGCCATGAGTTCCGCGGCGCGGCGGCGGGGAGGGGGGGGGGGGGGAACGGTCAGCCGGCCGGGCGTTGGCCACCGCCCGGCGTCTCGGTCAACTGCCAACGGACGAGCCCCCAGCGCGGCGCCGGGTGGAGGGGGGCGTCTTCGATCCCGCCGACCGGGCCGCTCGTCAACGCCAGTGCGCCGGCGTCGGCGGCGCGTGTTAGCGTTGACGGAGACCGACGCACCTGTGGCGGCTAGCTGGCTCGTCAACGGTCGATGACCGACGTCACACGCGCACAATGACGTCAGGGCCGAGCACCTGGAGACCGCGGCGGCACGCGTCGGCCGTCGGTCGGCCGAGCTTCCCCAGATAGTGGGATCAATGGGTCGTCGGCTCGGCCCGTAACCACCGGAACTGCCCCGCCACCCGGCAACGCCAGCGGATAACCCGGGGGACCGAGCGCTAACTCGGACAGCGCAAACGGTTTTTATGATGCCTGCGTGTTAGAGGAAGAGCAATTTGCATGCTTTTTTAACTGACTGGCAAAACAAGTCGCATCGGCTCATTTCATATTTATGCTTTTTACAATAACAATGGATTGTGTCATTTTTTACCTGATGTAGTATGAGAACCAAGACAATTGACTTTTATCTATTGTGTGACTAAAAGCATAAAGACAGTTATAGTTTTAATAAATACCGCTTACTATGATGAACGCGTATAGGTTTAGTCATCCACTTAACATCAATTTGCAGAAATTAAAAATGTACTTGCATGTAGCGTAATTTGGCAATGCCGGAGGAATTTCTCATTCAATTAACCTACCATTCAATTGATTTTCCAGGAAGCAGATCATCACATGATTTAAAAGTTGTGATGGATCGCCCATGTCAAGTAAAGAAAACTAATAATTTAGCATCACATACATTTATGGTGACCGTTTCATAATCGGAAGCAGATATAGTTAGAAATTCATCGTAATATTTTTAGGTACGGACTATAGAGCATAAAATTATAAGGGCTAGAAATATCAACCATACTATTGTTTGATCTTGTATGTAGGCATTGCTGGAAAACACTCAACAACAAAAAATGAGGATTTTAGATTGGGTTCATCAGTTTAAGGATGCAACTGTATTAGGTAATGATAACAATAAAGGTGAGTGAACATTATTTGTATGCTTGGTTGTGAGCTGAGAGCTTGCATGTGTGTACCATATGAGCAGGCAATGTGCTGGTGCAGTGTGCACTGCTTATATGAAATGTTACATAAGAGGGGGCAATAGGCATTACAGTAGTCACTAGTCATTTAGAGTTCATAACGAGTGTAACAAATAAACATAGAATGTTATGCATACAAACGAGAGCGGATAAAATATTAAATACAAAAATAGGTATATAAAGTAAGGAAGCAAACAGGACCGGTAAAATCAAGCATGAATCAAATCATTGACAAATAAATCATTAGCATAATGCAATAATGAAAAGTAAATACCTAAATTAAATTTCTAATGCATCATACTAAACGTAAAATATTAAAAAATAAGCTCAACCTCAACAAAATTAAAAGCATTGCAATTATTTCTGAAGCGAACAAAAACAAAAGCTAAATGAACTGATCGAAACCATACTACGTCGGACACCATATGGCTCAGCGTAAGGCTGCCCTTCCCAGCCACAGAAGACACCGGCGGTGGTACTGACCTGTGCTGATGGCGGGGAAGTTGCTGAAGAAGGCCGGTATGTCGGAACCGGCTGTCGCAGGTGTGTTCAAACTGCCGCTGTCCGGCGGCCCGGCCAGCTGGCTCGGGCTCAGAGACGGCGAAAACGGCTCCTTGCAGGCGTCGAACCCAAGCAGGCCGAAGTGGGTGTCCGCCAGGCTAGGCGCCGCCGCTAGTTCGCCCCCGTCCATGATCATCTTGGCCGGGATGTGGGAGGCACCTGTCGGTCAACCGTGCGCTCCGTCAGCCGCTGAGGCGCCTCGACGCGCTCCTCTCGCCGCCAGCGACGCCGTCAGACTGGCTCGCCGCCCGGCCGACTACTCACTATACGCAGCATGAATGGGCCGCTATCGAGCTGGCGCCGACCAATGAGCGGCCGCCCCGCCGGTGACGTCACACTACCGACGTCACACGTGTATTTATACCGGCTCGGATTATTTCGGCGATGGAGAGCAAATAAATGGAGTTCATGGGCCAGAGAGCGACATCCGGTGATGTGATTGGTGGACATTGATGCTAGGGCCATGTGCGAGGGCAGAGGTCAAGAGGGCGAGGCGCCGGCTCGCACTGGCGGTCACAGCCGCTAGCAAAAGGGGGGGCCAAACTCACACTCGCGGGACATAACATTTACCCGTCACCGGAGGGGGGGGGGTGATTGCCTCATTTTTTTACGTCCACGAGGCGCCGCGCAGTTGGCCATACTTATGCTTCGTCCATCTCATTCTGGCGTGGAATCTTTAAGCTCAATTTAAGGCAAAATCACCATGGTTCCATTTCTCGTCCCAGGGTGTTTCCACCGGTCGGGCCACTGCACCATGGCGACGGATCGGTGTAGCATATACTGGAAGGTCGGGCACGCGGATTCATGACCTTTCTACTATAAAACAATTCGGAATAGTACAAATACCTACCTCTTGCTTAGAACAAGCATGTGAAACCCAGAGATCATTTTCAGACTATGCATTTACCCATATACGAGTAGTTGTGTGGCGGCGGGAGAGAGTAGGTACACCGACCTCTGGAGACCAAAGGTTCCTGGCTTTCAAAATTGGCATCTGAGGGCCGCGCGCGACTCCTGCGGGCTTCGCAACGGCTCTATTGGGGCTGACTCAAATGCCTATTCCTCATGCTAAAAAGACTGGCCCTGAGCCCTGAGGACTTCATCAGTCTCTGCCAGCCCCATGACCCACAACGGCTCATGGGGTCCCGACGTCGAAATATGAGGGAATCTACGCGGGACCATCAGGACGTTAAGTGATCTCGATCAGGACCAACGTAAGGCTGTGCAGGAGCCTGCGTAAGCCCTCTTATCTTCAAAAGCCCACCCATGTATGTTTTCACTTATGTAGAGGCCAGTTTAGGGCCCTCAGAGACCAGTACAGGGCCTGCAAACTGCAAAGGACAGTAGTTTGAGACCATCAGAGACCGAGTTGGGCTCTCAGAGGCTAATGTGGGTCCTTACTCATTACAGCCCAACATGGGGCCCTCAGAGGTCAGCGTGGGGCTCCAAAAGACCGGCATGAGCCGTCGTTGGACCCCAGAGGCCAGCAGAGGGCCCTCAAAGGCCAAGATGGGCCTTCCTCAGAGGCCAATGCAGGCCCTTAGAGGCCGGCATCAGGTCTTTAGCAGCCAGTGCGGGGCCCTCATTGGCACCTAAAGGTTCGTCTTGGGACACCAGAGACAGAATAAGGCCACCAGAGACCGGTGTGAGACCCTCAGACGCCGGTTAGGGCCCCTGAAGCCGGCTAGGGGCCCTCATAGGCCAGATCTGGGGCTTCAGAGGTCGATGTGGGCTCTTAGCGGCCAACATGGGCGCTTGACCGCCACTGAAGTTCCCTCAGAGGTCAGTGTAGGACGCTCAAAGACCGGTTTGGGAGCTATATTTAATATTAATAGCTGGGAGTGTTTTTTTTTAGCCTCGTGACAATCGAATAAGGGCCAGGGCCCCATATCCTACACCTATGGGGGCCCATCGGTTGTTTGAGGGGGGGGGCAAATTATATGATGGCCCCCGTTATTAGCCTTTGGGGGGGGGCATGGCCCTGATGCCCCCCCCCCCGCGACCGCCACTGTGTACACATTACATACAGGCCTCTGAGATTGCATACTAGCTCATGCAAACTCTATGCAGGCCCCGGAGGTCCCACGCTAATCCTTAAGAAACCAAGCCGGCATACGGCGTCGCCACCGGGCTTCTGAGGTGCACAGCATCAACCCATGAGGTCTTACTTTAGTGTCGTAGAGCCACGCTCATTTGGCAGGGCCCACCCGGCACTGCCGAAGAGGGTCTCATGCCAGCCATTGCTGCAGGCCTACGAGAGCCCCAAGTAAACCCACGCTGATATTCCATATAAGACCTGGCCATACTCGTGAACCGGTGCCAGCGACGCTGACCGTCAAATTCACAGAATGCGAAACTGAGCCCACTAATGAGTGAAATTTACGTCCTTTGATGGCGCAAGAAAGAAAATGAAACATATACAAAAAGCTTTCTAGGACTTTTGTTCGATCTGAAAGGTGGGGCCAAAAGATAGTATGGCCCCACCTTTCAGCACCAAAGGGGGGGCCATGGCCCCCGTGGCCCCCCCCTGGGACCGCCTATGCCGGCTCGGCCGTATCGGGCGCACTTTGCTCGGCCGCCCGAGAGAAGTGATGTCACACTGCAGAGAAGGCTCCGCCTCCTTCCGCCGACAGGCAATGGGAATTCAGGATCGGAAGGAATGACCTCATACAGAGTATGATATCATTAATTCACTGGCGCCGCGTAGCATTGACATCGAGAGTAGTGTTATCGGCTGAGAATGTTTGTCGTGTACCGCGGGGAGGGGGGGGGGGCATGAGGACTTGCTACGTCGGACACCAGCGCTGCAGAAACTAGCCACGGACGGACATCCGGCGTGGGGATGGACCCTACACCTTACCGGCCGGGGATACTCGGGGGTCGGGACCGACAAGCTGCATTAAAATAAGAGTGACAAAGCGTACGTGAGGATTCAAACGGGGAACGTTAGGTTCTGAATGGGCCCGCCTGCTCATGATTGATTCAGGCTCGTCATGTTCAGTGAGCAGCGTGGGCGTATGTGATGTGCCTGACGGACCGTGCTGGGTCGTCTTGGCACGCGTCCCGTGCAGAAGACGGTGCAAATAGGCATACCGCCGCACGCCGTAAAACAAGTGGCTGAAATTCGGCCAATTGGACGCGGAGACAGACGGCTGGAGAGCGGAGACATTATTCCGTCGGCGTCCCTCGGCAATGGTGTTATTGCAGCAGACGGGTACATGGCTACCGTTCCACCCCCCCCCCCTCCTAACCAGGGGGGGGGGGCACATCTGCAGCGGACCATGCAGCTCGCCGACACTTAGTCACGTGACATACCGCCGTGTCTAGAGAGACGGTCACGTGACGTACCGAGCTGGTTCAGTTATTGACAGTCGCGTGACATTCCTCCGTCGTGGGGTCAGCCGGTCATATCGTCATTGAGCGAACCATTACCGAGCCGTACCCTACAGCAAGTGGCTCGGTTTAACGGGTCCGCCGTCGGCACAGTTTTCCCGGCAGTCGGGCTGCCTTTCTGAGCAACTTTACCGGTGGGAACTCGGCTCTAGTTGACGTCTGGAACGCCAAGCGCCGGCAAAGAGAATGTCATGAGTCAGAGCGTATACCTGTGCGGCGCCACCCGGGACATTTCGAGGGCAGATCTGGAATAATCGCGCCGCCGCAGACAGTAGCGATAAGGAGTCACCGGTGACAGTTTTGCACGTGAACAATGCCCAGCCGCCGTGTGGGGAAATGTTCGCGAACACAGCAAATTCAGTAGCGGAATAAGCGGCGCTGAGCCCATTCAGCCGCCGCCATATACGGTCCGGCGGCAGCTAACGGCAGGTTGTCGCGACCGCAATCTTCCTTACACGCCGACAAAATGGCCGATGCCGTCGACACGTAATCCAGACCACTTAACGTCATGTTAGCCGTGCCAGTTTCACAGCATGCGTGCTACTTACAGAGTTCAGATCACCATTTACGGGGTTACACGATGTTGGAGAATGTAAAAAGGAGCTTTGAGTATGCATACAGCGCTCCGCAAGTGACGAGACAACTCAGCGTGGGTGGAGCCGTTTTAGGACCTCTAATCCATTTCCATAGTAATTAGACGATTGTCTTTAGTGGTCGGTCATAGAATACGCTACCTTGAAGCCCTTCGATAAAAAGATCCCCAACGATATCACAGGAGATTGTTTCCGGCTGCCAAAAGTGTGGCATACATATAAGACAATCTGCATTTACCGTTATCCCGCGTCCCCATCAACCCCTCACCACCCGTGACCTTGTGGCATATGATGATGCCCCGATCCCCTCAAACCGCAGCGTCTGGCGGTGTCATAGGTCACCTACCCCCAAAGGTCACCGGAAGGGGGACGGGTGAACCTAACCAGCCAGCTGCGGTGTCAGACAACACGCGTTTTACCGGTGCACTCGCACTCACACACTTGTGCAGGCTAGGTGTCCCGTCGGGGCAGGTATTCGGGCCGGTCGACCGGGCGTTCAGTGCAGGCGCACCTACACAGGTGGGGATGATAGTCTGTCCCGAGTCTGCACCATTTCCGGCGCGACCGGAACCTTATCCCAGAGACACACCTGGGGCGGGAGATGATAGCTGGGAGCACCTGTGTGACCCCCTCCCCTCCGAGAAGAGGAGGTGAGCTGCGGCAGCCACGGGGAGCCGCCTCACGCGGGCCGTAACCCGATTAGCTACTGTGTGCGCACTGGCCGTGGGGATTATAGCGTTACACCCTTCTCTACTGCAGCACTGGGCTTTCAGTGTCAGTCGCTGTGTCGATGGTAAAAACCCCGTGGTAACTGAGCGCAGCCCTCCACCGCCCGCTCAGCGACAGCGCTCAGCGTATCGCTCGCTCGCCGCTTATCGCGTGCGTCATGAGACGGCGTTTTGACGTAACCAATCGTTACACTTGGACTGTGATTTCTGAGTGACTTATCTACCTCCCCCCCCCCCCGCCCCGCCCCGCCCCGGCCCACCCTTGACCCTGCCGGCGGGGCTCGCCCGCGGCGGCTGCAGAGTGTATGACGTCACAGCGCGTGCGGGTCAAAGGTCCTGACGGTGCTGTGTGGTCGCCGGCGACAGAAATAGCGATCGGAGAGGTATTCTGGGCAATCGTCGGCTTCGACGAACGATGACGTGTGTCGCTTACGGAGTCGGTCGA